CCATAGCTTGCTAGTGGCGTCGTCTTTTGTCAAACGATGGAAACTTATTTGTACACCTAATATATATATATATAAATTAATTAGATCAAATTAAATAATACATAAATATTTTTTAATCAGAAAATATAATACTTATAATTAATTAATTGAATGAATTCGAAACTTCTATATTCAATATTGATATAATTTAATATTTATTCAGTAATTAATACATAATGAAGCTATAAAGTATAAAATAAGTATAAAATTACATAAATATTACTCGTGAATGACACTAATAAGGAGAGAATAATATCTATTAATTTGATTTTCATTAAGAGATGTACTAATCGTATGCATTTCTATGCAACAATGCAGTAGGTTTGTTTGTTTCATGAACATCTATTTTACATTTCTTGTATAAAATAATACTCGTAGATTATATCAAATTTTAAAATGTCACATAATGAGCAAAAACATAAATGTAGTATGAGTAACCACACAACTTATATTCGTAAAAACCGTGAAATTAAATTATTAGTTTAATTCATTTTAATTAGATTTTAATTCTTAAGGAATCATGGCGTAAACTAAGGAAGCAACTTCAAATATTTTATAAACAATTAAATACGTTCAGTTTGTATATTTCTTTATTAATCCACATAAAAATCATATGTATTGATTTATATCATACTGATACATCGCAAAAAAGAGTAGATAATTAAATTTAGTAAAAGACAATGATTTTTATGTCTTTTTTAAAATATAATTTGCATAAAAATTATTTAGATGTGTAAATATGGAAGATAACTTGTTAAAAAAAATTGTGTACTCACTTTTTTATGTTTTTAGTTTGTCATAAATAAAATTAATCAAGTAAATTAATTTACTTCATATTTTTAAATGTCAAATCCATTTAGAACCACACTAATTAATTAATGCGAGAATAAATTTATTAAGAATGTCGTTGCAAGTTATGAAATTTTTTTCAGAATCAAAACGCTATAATATTGCACAGAAAAAATAGTTTGGTTATAGCTACCTAAAATAGATTCATCAAATGTTTTAATGTAACCAAACATAACTTTATCCTTACAAAAATTTAGTACCAAACAGAAAACTCATAAATATAAAATTATGTTTTGGTTATGTAACCAAAATATTTGATTAATCTTATTTTAGATAGCTGTTATTAAATTTGATAGCTATTGCCAAACTTTTCACACTTTTTTCTGTGTGTATTTCACGATCACGACCGATATTCATCCGTTTTTATTTCAAAAATAAGTTTTATCTCATAGCAAATTTGATTGAAATAGTGAGCACTGGTGTATATATTGTATATCAAAATCGTATACTGATTTAATTTGTATAAGAAATAAAACATATTTCAAATTATAAAATACAGATTTTATTTAACAATAAAATGTAGATTTCATAATTTAACGCGTTTCTATATATTGAATGCACATCTTTACAATCTTATCAATTTGTGTACGGCGACTTGAATATGTATCAGTGCGAGGGAGTAACCATTTAATTATTAATGAACTTAGAAATCATATTAACTGAAATGTCACACAGCGCTCGGTTATTACATAACATCAATTAAAATATATGAATTTGATTGGAACAATATACGTATCTTAGATGAGGAAAAAATATTGAACAAGAGACTCATCTCAGAAATATTTTTATCAAATAACAAACTAATGGTTTAAATTTACAAAATGATACGAAATTGTTGGACAAAGCTTATGATAACATAATTATATTTAAATGACACTCAATGTATTCTACATTTTTATGTTTGCACTTGTATTGTTGTCTTGTCAGATGAGACTCGATGTCCGACGCATGAAATTAATAACGTTTCCATGATCATGTAAGGCCCAGTTCTACTCACGATTAACTCTTAATCGAGATTCAACTTAATTCTCATCTTTTTCCAATTCTAAAATTAAAAAGAGAATAATTAAAAAGAGATGAATAAGTTGAACCTCGGTTAAAAATTAACCGTAAATTGTAGAACTAAGCTTAAGAAAACATTTTTTATGCTTACATTCTATTATATAATGACTCGATAAATTTATATAGCAATTTATATAGCACCAGGAAGTACGATGACATCACTGTTATATTATTGTTATATTACTACTTTTAGATGACTGAATTCTGTTAATTAACAATTTACATTAGCATTGATAAAGATCCAAAATCGAGACGTCTGCAATTATAATTTATTATTAAATTAATTTAAATAAACCAATCTTCACATTGTCATCCTGTATTGACTCTATTAAAGTCAAATAAGCATTATTATTTGATTGTATTGATTTATCTCAATCAAGCTTTAAAATAATTTTAATATTTAATTTAATATTTAGTATTTAAAAATAATTTAATATTTAGTTTATTAATTATATTGATAATCACTTAATACAATCATAGAACAGAGTCCTCGAAATCATTATAAAATTCATATGAAATCTCTATGTATAATCCGATAATTACATATGCAACCACAAGAAATCATTATATAATATTAAATTAAATCATATATTTTATCAAATAACTTTATAATTATGTAGCTAAAAAAAATTATTTTTAATCACATGAAATCATATGAAATCCGTGAGACGGATCCTATTTAAAGTAATGATTATTTTCTCGTATCAGTGCGCATTAAATTTGTCGAATTCACTATTATAAATACATTTCAAAATGCTAATATTTTATTAGCATTTTGATTTATAATTTCTTAAAACTCTATAATCCTTTCATGGTGTAAACAACATGTTGTA